AGGTGTTATGAAGGCTTTACAATTCAAAACAGCATTAATGGAGTGACATGATTGCAAACGGTAAGTGCATGGTGATTTTCTTTCAGTATTTCAGAAGGAAAAGTACTACACAGCGTCTTTACAGTCTGCCTTTATTAGTGAGCAAATACTGAAAATATTGGGCAGCAAAACCATTGGTGATGCTGACATTGCATGGGCATTGTGAAATTCTAGAAAAAGTCTAGCTCTCATTCTTGAGATTATTTTTTTACTCTGCTGAAAGAGCTTCTGTTGTGTGAGTTCGGGCATAAGAAGAGCTACAGGCCCAATGCTTTTCTTTCACATTCCACAGATTAAGGTACCTTGTTAATCTAATTCTGCTTGTCTTCTGCTTCTCATAATCGTTTGGAATTTGTTCTGTTTCTGCTGCTTTTGGGCCGGGATTTGAACCTGTAATTCCTCTGCACCAAGTTGAGAATCATACCCCTGACCATCAGAGCCGTGCTTTCTCCAACAATTACGGCATGCAACAAAAACGATGATTTTTTCATTGATAAAACAGTTTCAATGCAAATGGAACCAAATCTGAAATGTTTAAAATGTCGCTTCCAGGAGAAAATCTGACTGGGAGTCCTATTACCGTAGGAATATTGTTTCCCGTATCCACTCCCAAATCAGGAATCAGGAAAAAAGAGGAGAGGATTTGGGACCCATCGCGCTGCTTTCCCACTTGGCAATGCCAGGAATATTTCAGTCACCCTCTACCTGAATTTGTACCTCTGCCTTAATTCTGAAAATTCTAGCTTTGGTTACAGCAAGTCTTTCTGCGGTAAACACAACTATGTAACAAGCAGTTGAGACTTGTAAAACTTTCTTATGTCTGAGAACGCTTCTCGAAAGTGGTCTTTCTAAATATGAGTTTTGAAAATATGAAATTTGACTAAATTCTATATATATAAAGCTAAAAAAGGGCTGAAACATCGGGCCGACTGATTTTAACCTCGGGACCTCTCGCACCCAAAGCGAGAATCATACCCCTAGACCATCGAGCCACGTTTCTTACGCTCGCTATGGGATTCAAAACGATTTCCTACTTACGTGGCATACTTAAATTTTAGTAGAAGGAAAGTAACACCACCACGCCATTCGAGCTTTCAAGTGGTACTGAACATAGGTTCCATCAAAACGATTAATCCATTTGGGCTCGACCGGGAGTCGAACCCGGGACCTCTCGCACCCGAAGCGAGAATAATACCTCTAGACCATCGAGCCGCAGCCTCTGAGCTATTATTTGTATCTTCTTTCTAAATATAACTCATGAAAAATGCACAATTTGGTTTAATGAAAATAAAATCTCTTGTATAAGACAAGCCATATCAAATATTGTTTTCTAAATATTCCAAGTTTTGGCACCCGTTTTGGTAATGAACGGCGGTTCACAGGTTTCGTTTTCATTCTTTTCATCACTTGGACTTGAAATTTCTCCATCGGATGGGCCGAGATTTCGCCCTAGGAACTCTTGCGCTCTAAACATGAATAATGGCCTTAACAATCCAAACGAAAGATTTAACGGAGCGACATGATCGCAAACTATAAGCGGATGAGATTTCTTTCCAGTATTTCAGAGAAGGAAAAGTAATTACACAGCCAAGTCCTTGATGTCCCATTTTTATTTAGTGATAAATAATTACTGAAAATATTTTCGATCAAACAGCAAAACCATTTGGGTGACGCCGAGAGAGATTAACACTTGCAATGGGCATCAGGAATCTAGAAAAATCCACTCTTTCATTCTTAGATGATTTTATTCTTTTAATCTCGCCGAAAATGAGCCTTCGAAAGTAAAATGGAGTCTCGGGGCATAATAAACATTATATAAATCTAACAGTTTTCTTCAATATTCCAATGGAAGATTACAAGTGTCTTATTGAACGACCGTTTGTCTTTCCGCTTCCTCATAATCATTTGGAATTTAAAATGAAACTGTTCCGCCGCTTTGGGCTCGGCCGGGATTTGAACCCGGGACCTCTCGCACCCTAAGCGAGAATCATACCCCTAGACCACCGAGCCGTGTCAAGCTTTCCTCCACTTCCAACAATTAGCGCATGCAACAAAAAACGACATTTTTTTCGGCTGACAGCCCAGAGCCAATGTAATGATCCAAATCTTGAAATATGTTTAAAAATGTCATCGGTTGAGAAAATTCGATCGAGTGTCCTATTACCGTAGGAATATTGTTTCCCGTATCCATTCCAAATCAGGAAAAGAGGAGAGGATTTGGGACCGACCAGAAAAGGCTCTATCGCACGCAATGCCAGAATATTCTTCTAGTCGCCCCTCTAGCTAATTTGTACTCTACTCCACTTCGAAAATTTAGCTTTTGCTACAGCAAGTCTTTTCTGCGGCAAACACCGTAACTATGTGTGTACGTTTAGTTAAAACTATTATATTCGTAAAACTTTCTTACCCGAGAAACGTTTCTCTGACAGTGGTCTTTCATATATTTTGAAAATATTATACCTGACAAAATTTATATATATAAAGCTAAAAAAGGCGAGAAACATCGGGCTCGACCGGGATTTGAACCCGGGACCTCTCGCACCCAAAGCGAGAATCATACCCCTAGACCATCGA